TAACAAATAAAATGCATATATTAAAAAAATTTAAGGTCTCTTACAATTAAAAAAAATTTTGCTTGGCATATATACACAACTAAATGCAAATTTAGGCAATTGCATTAAAGGGGGATGGGTATACCTAGCGACGGAAACTCAAATTAAAATTTAAATATAATTAGTTTTAATCATTCATTTAAAAATAATATGTAAGATTACCGCCTGTTTGTGCATCAAAACGCTTAGTAGCGATAGCATCAATTTCGTCTATGAAAATAATTGCTGGAGCGTTTTCCTTGGCTAATCGGAAAACATCACGTACCATGCGCGGCCCTTCACCCAGATACTTTTGCACAAATTCGGAGCCAACTACTCGAATGAATGCTGCAGTAGTGTGATGTGCAACAGCTTTTGCTAGCATAGTTTTACCACAGCCTGGGGGGCCAAACATCAAGACACCCCTAGGAGGATCAATTCCAATTTGTTTGTATAACTCAAAGTGAGTAAGAGGCAATTCGACAGCTTCGCGAACTTCTTGCTTTTGTAGGTCCATGCCACCAATGTCTCCATACGACACATCCGGTTTTTCATCTTAAATAAGAATGAATAGAAACAAATGATCAATTATATGTAACGTTATTTTAAAAAAAAACACAAAACAAAAAATTCATACCTGGTTGAAGCATAGTAATGCTACTGTCAGCCTCTGGAGGCAGAACATCAACCAAAGCATTACTGTGCTTGTGCAATGCAACGCTTGCGCTAGGTTTGAGCAACTCTCTGTCAATTGTGGACAAAATCCTCACATAATAATTGGAGCCTTATCATAAAATAATGGAGAGTGTACCTACCTGTTGTCGAACCAACAATACCAGTATTTTGATCTACTGCCTCTAAAAATTGACCAATGACGAGGGGCACACTTTTAATGCGCTTAACCTCTTCTTGAGCATGCAAATATTCTTTTTTAAGATTTTTTTGCTCATTCTTTATATATTTTTCCTGAACCTGGATGAATTCCAATTGTTTTTTTAATGTCTTGCGAAGCTAGTTACTTAATATACAAACCTTTAGCTTCACATATAAATCATCATCACTTAACTGTAAAGGATCTATGTGGCTAAAATTAAGAAGTCCTGTTTCTTCATTTTCACGAGATAACTGCAGATAAGTAAATATTTACTGGTTACCTTGTCAAATTGCAGAGGGGCGGGAGCGAGTCCAATCTCCTCCATACCGACTTTCCTCACTTCAAATTAAGCGCAAAAAGTGGTGTAGTTTTAAATAATTGCTTTAATCTTTTTTTTGAAATTTTATCATATTAATAGATGTACGACTATTTAGTTTAAATGACTGAACTCCAGGATGATGCTGCTTGTCAGGCCGCCGATGCGCTTCTCTTCGAAATTATCGATTTCATATCTGATAAAACCAAGAATGTACGTAGAAATACAAGACTATTTTAATTTAAGGCCATCGAAGGAAGCATAATTCGACTTCAATGGCTTGAAGCACTAGGGTTTCGCGTTGGTCAGCGCCTTATCGAGAAGTCATTTAGTTTGCACATAACCAAGTCAGGACAACGAGAGAA